ATATTTTTGAGGGCTTCTAAATGCAGAGGGGAGCAATCCCCGAAAGAATCTGAGTTACCGTTGTGCATGATCAAGCCACAATTCATGTTGGTATCGACTGGTGGAGGATGCTGTTCGTTATAAGCGCTGCGCAAACCTCATTGGACGTTTTTGAATTCTAGATTACGCTTTAAGAGAGATCAGTTTTGGGAAAATCATACCAAACTGCACGATCATGGAGTCTCACCGAAACGGGGGGGAATAATGACGTTTTACGACTGCCGACAGGTACAATGGTCACGGTCTAACTCTGATGCTTCATTGAAAATAGTTGTCACGTCGTGTATCACACGCCCTTCTTCCCTTTCCCTTTTGCGTGAATAGGAAACACGAGTTTGGTAACTAAAATAAGCTCAATCCGCCTCTTACGCTTTCGTTCGAGCATATGCGTATAAACAAGGGTGATCACGATCCCGCTGGGCATCAAACACCTCCATTCGTTAATCCGCTGGTCTTCGTGAAACCCAACAGATTACTTAATTACACGGGTTCCGAGCACAAAACACTGAGCTCCTCAGCACCGAACTTTTGCATGGCTCATCTATATGGGTATATCTCGGCCTTCGTTTACGCGGCCGGCCATACAAGCGGTCAGATGTGGCAAAAATAAAATTGTGTTCTAGAAAAAAAAATTGTTAATATGTTGCAAAATGAAGGCCTTCTTTGGAGGTTCAGAGCCCCCCAAAACGCAATCTCCGTGAAACTGCGTCGGTTGCAGATTCTCTCGAGTTTCTCCACTATACGCTCTCCACCAATCGTGACCAGAAAATCGGCTTTCTTGACACTTACTGTTTGCACAGTTTCAGAATCCTGTCTTCGCACGCGCAAAGTTTATGTCCAACGTATACACGCAATAAAAGAACACGCGAACGTAAATAAATATCGACGGCTTCGTTTTATAGTCTATTTAGGGATCTCAAAGTGATTCCCTAGATTCGTGTCTTGGAGGATGCACAATGGACTCTTGGATTGCACAAAGCAAACAAGGAAAAGAATAAAGACGGACAAGGAACAAAAACACGAGAGAGCTCCTTTTTATTTTTTATTTTTTTTTTCCCGCGTATGTATACTTTTCTTTTTAAAGTTTTTTCGTGATTGTTGAAAGTGGTTACAGACAGCCACGGGAGAATCATGTGCGCCGCTCCCGTCCGGTTTGTATATATATATATATTTATGTACTCACTCTGACGCGGACAAGCGCTATGCATGCGTGTGATGTATATGCCATTGGGCTCCGACAATTGCACGTCGGAGCTATACGAAGTTTCTGGGCTTGTGTGTACGTTTGCGTCAACTGCCGATCCAGTTCGGCATCTAGAAGCGACCGTAAATCTCCGGAGCAATTGCGACATTTTCGGGCGAAGTCTCCTTTCTATTGTTCGTATTTCCGTATTCTTTCGCCCTTTCACCGAAGGGGTGGACATTTTGAGATGTCAATGGTCTCATGGAGGCAATGCCGCGCGATCTGCCTCCAACACGGGCATGTTGGGAAGTTGGAGGCGCTCAGGTCTGTATATATGCCAGTGCGCCCGCTGTGCAATATACAAAAAACGCAACGGTGTACGTCCGAGGTCGGAGAGCCGCCATGTTTGGGCGCCGTTCAAAAGCAGGATCACCAACAGGCACACGAGAACGAAGGAATCAGAATCAGTGAAGTTCGGAAAAAATCGGATAGTTCTGATGGTTCTCCAACCATATTTGCCACTTCGTAACACATATACCGTCTGTTTTAAAACATCGTTCAAAGTAGAAGAGTTGCGCGTATGAAAAACGTATAATAATGTATGTATAACCCCCGACATTTTTTTTTTTATTTGCTGGTTTATAAAAATGTATTGAGTCGACAGTCATTTCCCGAGCTAATGAGTTGGACGAGTGTCGCTTTCGAAAGGGAAACGCCGTATATATGTTGTACCAACTCTGAACCGCCCCTCAGTCCGAACGTTTTGGGTGTTTGCTTAATTGCTCTGCGATCGCAGTCTTTTTTTTTTTTTTTTCGCTAATCGTTAATTTGTTTATGTAGTTCCCCAGAAACCGGCTCCGGAGCATGCAGCGGCCCGCGTTTGGTCTCCACCACTTTGTACAAGCGCGAAGAAATCTTATTATCTTCTCACAAAAAAAAAAATAAATAAATAAAAAAAAAAAGGAAGAAGGAAAGGTTTGCGAGTTAGAAAGTGCGTCGTTGCATGCCATTCCGATTTATTACACCGGCCTCGTTAGAAGACATATGCCATAAACGTCATGAGCAATACCGCGACGGTGATCTTCAATGATTCTCATTCAACTGGCGTTGCTTCACAGGTCGTTCCACATGCGTGCATGCAGGGAGACACCCTTGTGGCATGTTCGACAAGAGAGAGAGAGAGAGTCAGGGCGAAACGACTAAATGAAACTCTGAACGCGGAGGCGGAAGGGAGCGACTGCAAATTGGAAGTACACTCAGTGTAAATAAGTTGCTGCTCCGCCTGTCGACGTGCCAATTACATACCAGCATGGCGGCGTCTGGGCGGGGAGGCGCCCGCTCTGCGGCTCGGAAAACGATCGTTTGCCATGTCCATGTAATCGGTGTGGTAATGAAAAAACTTGTTAGAGACAAACGAAAAAAAAAAAAAGTGGGTGTTGAATTTATATATATATTTTTAGCCGAAGTGAGACAATCGGACAAGTTATCTGAGAATTCACAAGCGCCTTTTCTCATTCATTGGAGGATCTGGGGAAATTGGAATTCGAAAAACATTGGAAACACAGCAGTATTTTTTTTTTTCTTGTCTAAAGATTTGTAAATGCAAAAAAAAAAAAAAATAATAATAATAAACATTTAAAAAAAATTGCGGGGATTTATTGGTTGAGCAAGAAAGAGAAAATTTTTTATCATTTTCGTTTGTATACAGGATTCTCAGCCTGCATGCGCAGGAATAAAAACAAAAATCCTGAAAATCATTGGCTGCAAAGAACTATAGCGCACAAATTTTCGTGATTTTTTGTTTTAGACCTGAAAGTCATTTAGGCAGTGATAGGCAATTTTTAAATGCGCATTTCAAAAAACAACTTTGATAGTTTTTTAGTGAATTACATATTAGGGAATGCATTTGTATATTTAAAAATTCATTGCTGAAAAATGGGTATTGATTGTAGTTCAATGCGAATCTGGGCTCTCCGCGATGTGTTTTGGATCTCTTGATCATAATTATTGGCACGGTTTGATCGAGAAACAAATTTTAGCAAAATTCCGTCAACATTTTTTTTTTAATGTTTTTGATTGTCGTGTCATATTTCACCCTTTGTTCGGGCAAGGTTTTTACTTCTTTTTTTTCTTCCTCAGAGTTAAATTTAAGTTGCAGACGCCCAACTATATATGGAAGTCAAATGTATTTGGAGAAGTATTTCGAGCAGCTCTCACTGCATTTGTAGTTGGTTGCCTTTTTGTAAGTATTTTGGAAATCCCTGCGCTGCAAGAAGGAAATACTTCATATATTTTGTCCTGCAATTCATTATATGCATAAAAGAGGGAATCGAATTTCTTTCAAATAGTTTTGTTTGTAGATTGCTTTGTAGTGGGAATCACTTTTCTCTAAACATTTTGTCCGTGAGAATTCACTGGTTGAGTGTGAACCAAATTTCCTCACCTATTTCTGTCTGGCGACGAATTCGATGCTGAACAGAGGAAATCGGATTCCTTCAAATATTTTTACCCGGGGTTTCATTGATTGCAGGAAAGGAATCAATTTTACGGATATTTATTATTTGAGTATTGACTGCAGAGAAGGAAACAAAGTTCTCTTTTTCCTTGTTTGTTTGCCGGAAGAAGTATAGCTGCACAGAAGAAATCGTTTTTAACTTATTTTCTTTTTGTCCTGTTTTTGCTGGGGATATATCGATTGAAGGCACGGGATGTATTCACTTGCAACATTCTTCTCCGGAGATTCAATGACCGCAGCGATGGAATCAACGTTCTTCGGCATATTTGCCCGAAAATTTATCGGTTGTATACAGAGCAAATATATTCTGAGAATATTTCTGCCTGATTCCCGAATGTCCACAAACGGTTCAGCTAAGAGAACTCGTTATAAGATCCGTCATCTGCAGGATGATCGTGGATAACGTATGGATGGGCGGCAATGATACTGATATGTGAGCACTGAGAAGTGGTTTACAGACCGAACCGCGCAATTTTTACAATATATAGCTTTGGAAACACTCGGACAATTTAAATACCGTCCACTTGAAGTCACAGGTCAGAGAAAGATTTTTCACTCAAGCTGCGAGGAATCAAGAGTGCTTGCTGTCAGTCGCTTTCGATTTGCGGACTTTGTGCAATGACTGATCCACAACACGGAGCAGTTGATAACGTCACTCCAAAATGCAAATTTGTCCAGGTCACGATCAGACTGACATTGGAGAAATCGGAGCAGCGGGGTTGTTTCGCTCTCAGGGAAAGGAAGTTTGTATATCAGCTGAGCAGAGACGCCTTCGGAAGATACGCGGCTCGCGAGATTCGTGTATCCAGTCGCCCAGAATCAGCCGAGAACTGGGGGCTTCTCAGGAGACCCCCAATTTACGGTCACTGCCATCGCGTTCATTACGACGAATGCCAACATCAACGGAAGACGGTCATCAGGAACGTCTCGACCGCGACGCACGATATACATCCTGGGCACGACATCGGTTGGCACATGGCTCGACAGCTCGGCCGAGGGCCCCAGGGGGGAAGTCGTCCTTGCGCATCCCGTCCAGGTTCAGCACGCGTCGACGACACACGCGGAAAGGGGGGTTCGTAATCGCCAAGAAGAAAAAAAAAAAAAAAAAGCTTAGAAGAAAAAGGAGGTTTGCGTATCCGATCTGCGCGAAGGTCTCGGAAGGAACCCTGGTGTCGGGCGCGAGCGACGGGGAGACCGCTGGTCCAAGCGAGGAGCACTCGGACGGGGGTTCGACAGGAGGGGGGGCCCTGCGGGGCCACTCACCGGCGGGGTCCGCGTCCGGCGGCGCGTCGCCGTCCGAGAAGTCGTTGGCGCTGTCCGGGCGTGGCGGCCTGCGGCTGCCGGCGATGAGCGCGTCGATGGAGAAGTCCTTGGCCCTCGCCGACATGGGGCTGGATCTCGCGGCCGGGGTCGCCAGGGTCCATTTGCGCGGCGAGCGGGGCCGCGGCCACCATAGAGCCGCAGCAGCGGGGCTTGGGCCGGCCGTATCGGCGGCCACTGCCGCCGGGGCAGGGTCCGCTCGTGGCGCCCCTGTGCAACCCAGGAAGGCAACTCCTCCCCCGACCGAGAATCGGGCACACGAACGTCCGGGCAGCCGCGCTGTCGCCAGGGCGTCCGCGCGGACGCCGAGCTCGCCGCGCTGGCCGCCACCAGGCCCCTCCCCCGCCGCCGCGGCTTCCGGGGGGCGGGCTCGACCGGAGGACGGCCGACGTCGACGCGCCTGCCCATTGGCCGTGTTGCGCCCGGGGCGAGGCCCCCCGCCGCCGCCACGACGCCTCGTGCCCGCGCTCGGCGACAGGGGCCGCGGTGATTGCGTCTCGGACCAGTCTGGCCGCGCTCTCGCCGCTCGATATCGATTGCGGGCTGTGTGGCCGCCGCCGCACAAGTGGGCCCGGGGAGTCGCCAAGCCGCAGAGCCCGGCGACCCCACGAGGCCCCCAAGGACGACCGGAAAACGTCGCCACGCGCGCGGGGGGAACGCGCCGCGGCTCCGCGCTGGGGCCTCGACCCCGGGCCTGCTGGCTGCCGACTCCCCTGGCCTCCGACCTGCCCACCCGCCGCTGGAATCGGTTTCCGAGAGCACGTGACGATACATCCATGCTACGCTGCAGTGACAGCGCGCGAATAGGGAGCCTTCGGACGCATCCGGCGTGCGAAGGCTCCCTACTTGCGATCAACCGCTTATCTGGACCCCGGGGAATGACGCCAACGCTTGGAACTCCTCCCTAGAGTCCGGGACTCTTCGGATGATTCGATGGGTTCTTAGGGATTTTATAGACGGTTTCCCTATTTCGGGATATCTGGGGAAAGTGGGATGAACTTATTCGTTCCTGGTTGCTATTCATTCGCAACTTCGTCATCTTTACTGCAAATGACTTTTCGGACACGGTGACACAGCAATACGAGTTCTTGCCCACATTTTTATTGCCTATTGGTTTTTCTTGAACGAGTCCTTAGACATCTCATAAATTGAACAAATGATCGTTTTGCATTATAATAACAAATGAATGGAACAAACCCAATTCAATAAGAAGCGAGACGAAATTCGGACTTCTGAGCGGTCCGTCATGCAAAGATATATTATTTGTGACAATCATAATATTATTGCTTGAAGATAGAACATATGGGTCTAAAATCTGCCTATACCTCCGCCATACTCTGACTCCTCTCTTCCTCGGTCGTGAGAGTCTTTCCGCCACCAGTCAGACATAAGGAGGTTTGATGTTGGCGCCATACTTATCTCTATAACGGGGCACGAAATCCCGAACACCCGAAGCCATCTTAACCGCGCGTGACGCTTCATAAAAAAAAAAAAAAAAAACGCTCAGTAACGCAGACCACCGGCGCGAGTTCACCGCTTTGCCAAACGAGCAACGTACTCCCCAAATATCAAATGCTTGCCAGATCGCTGTACACCGAGATGGGAGCGACCAAGCGCTATGCAGCTATCTTTCAGTTGCCTTGCTTTCAGCGTCAGCTCGCTGCCATCAATGGTGCTTGTAGTGAACGAGCGCACTCGACGCTGACATGACGAGCGAAACATCGAAATACCCCTGGAGACGGGTATACAGTGGTGACTAAGAAACGAAGCGATACCGAGAGCACCGAGTAATACTTAAAATAAAAAAAAATTAAA